TCTGCCTCTAGCAAGGAAGTGGATCTGCAGGGAGGTGTTAGTTACGATTCTGGTAGTGCTTCTAATTCCTACTTTTTCTTTACATGTTAGGCATCTGGTGCCATGCTTTTTGTGGCACAGACTGATCTCAAAAAACATTTGAGAGCGCTGAGACTGTGCAGCGCAAGATCTGGGTAAACACTTTTCTAGAGATGGGTGCATTTTCTTCTCTGAAAGAGTGGTCAGACAGTGGAATGGGCTGCCCAGGGAGGTGGTGGAGTCACCAACCCTGGAGGTGTTCAAAGAGTGTTTGGACGCTGTGATGAGGGACATGGTTTAGTGAGAACTATTGGTGATAGGTGGATGGTTGGACTGGGTGACCTTGCAGGACTTTTCCAACATTGGTGTTTCTGTGATTCTGTGATTCTGTGATTCTGTGATTCTGTGATTCTGTGATAGTGAGATTCACCACACATTGTAATTAAGATGGATAAGCATCAGCATAAACCTGGAGCCAGCCTAAAATTCTCTTCCCAGATCCATAGAGGAATTCTTCACTTTTGGCCCAACAACATTCAGACAGAGCAATTCAGAAATAAATTCATCATTTTCAATCAGATGAGTTGATAACAGAGGCAAAAATACAGATTACTAGGACTACTTTACTTAAATTGCAATTTCAGGTGCAGTATCATTAGAGTCTCCACTATTTTTGCTCTAGGAAATGTGTGGTACATATTTGTTGGCTTGAACAACATCTGACACGGAACAAAATCACACCCTCACCAAAAGTAGGAATAAATTGAGATTTTTTATGCAAACCAGAATTTTATTCAAAGTTCAAACTGACAATCATCCAGAAAAATTATTCGGGTCCACTCTGCTGGACTGGACATTCTCTGAAGAGGACAAAACATCCTCCAAAGTGGCTTTTGGTCTATAAGTACTAGGAGTCATTGCTTTAAATATGGACATAAAGTGCAGGCATATATAAAATTTGTTTTATTTGAATCTTTGTGAACAGTGGAAATATACTGAATGGCAGAGTGAAAGGAAGACTTCATGAATGCTAGTTTCCAAAAACATGTTTCCCCATGCACACACACAAAAAAAACAAAACACAAAGTCTAAGATTATGTTTCACTAGAATCAACCTAGGAAGAATGGAGCCAATAGTCAATAGTGCTCTTCATATTTCTCTTACAAGATGGAAAAGTATTTTTGCATGTTTTCCAATTGTACAGTATATCTGCAACAGCAACTGCTATCAGTGTCTCATTTTCTTCATGATAGATCATTACAGCCTTCCAGGAATGTTTCTTTTTCTAGTTTTTTTTTTGTTTGTTTGTTTTGTTTTTTTGTTTTTTGGTTGTTTTTGTTGTTGTTGGCTTTTTTTGTCTGCTGGAAAATACTTGAGTATATAATTTATTCTCTCAGATTTTCAGTAATGAAATAAATAATTCAATATAAGCTAGTAAAAGACTTGTCTCCTGTCTCTGAAATGTATTGTACACTGGCTGCAGGTATAATGAAATTACAGCAAAGTCAGTCCTCATCCATCAGTGACCATATTCTCCTAAACGTGGCTGTGCTGCTACTCTCTCATCGCCTGGCTTTTGGAACATCAAACACGTCTTTTGATAGCACATCTATGGTAACTCAACTATTCCACTTTGTGGTTGATTTCTTATGGGAAAACTAGGGACAATCTTTTCAATGTAAAATTCCATTAATGTGTTTCCCCAGTATTACATGATGTACATCAGGCAGCAAGTCTGAAAACACTATGAGATGGTCAAAGGGAAGGGAAGAGAGCCAAGTTAGTCACAGTCCAAGAGGAACCCCTGCTGATCGCTGGAGGGATAGCAGTGAGTGCTGAGAAAATTCAGTTCATGCTGAGACAGGCAGAAATTGTGTTAATGTGATTTAAACAAAAAAAGAGATGAGAGTTCAAAAACAGTTGGAAGACTAATTCAAGTGCATTCTTTTATAAGCCATAACATAGAAGACATATTTGATCCCTTGATCATTTGATCTTTACCTTCACTAACCACCCAAGATAAATATTACTCACTAGACAGACATAACAAACTAAAAGATGAACATTTGATGATTTAATATTGACTAGACAAAACTATAGGAAACACCACTTGTGTATAATGATTTCATTTCCTTGATTTTTTGTATATTGCTGTTTGAATATTCTGTACTTCTCTTTCTCCTTTTTAGTTCTAACACATCTCTTTTATTTCATTATAATTCCTTATGAACATATCTGAGAGCTTCTGAAAGCACATTTCCTCAGCACTGAAAGCATGGAACTGGACTTCTCAGATGATACTCCAAAAAACGTTCTTTTTACATATAGGCTGAACAATCTTGATTCTATTTGCTTAGGACTCGTACCATTCTGATAGTGCACATAAAGTAGAATAATTATGGATTTATCTAGTCTGTCTGAAAAAAAAAGAGGGATTCAACTGTGCTTCCTCTTCTAGTGACTAAGATCAAAAATGAAATCTGTGCCTTAGGAGAGAATAAAGCCTGGTTTCCATTTCAGCGAGCTCAGTTCTCCCACAGGGCCACAGGCAGTATGTGACTTTTGTACCTAATGAAAGATACACCTGTGCTGCCACAGATGATGTAGTGCCTAAAGGATCTTCAAAGCAGATGGATAGAATAGAAGCCATGGTGTTCTTCAGACTCCCTTGCTTCTCACATGAACTTGAAACATATGGGTTTATAATCAAGATAAAACGGAGAGCATCACTGCATTTACATAGTCATCACATCATCTCATCACTTGCTTACACAATACCTGTTCCATCTAAACATTATTGCTCAAGTATACATACATTCCACTATCTGCTGGTTAAAAGACTACATGATCATAGAATCACAGAATCACAGAATCACAGAATCACAGAAATCACAGAATCTTTAGAGTTGGAAGGGACCTCTGAAAGCCATCTAGTTCAACTCCCTTGCAATGAACAGGGACATCACAAATAGATTAAGTTGCCCAGGGCCTGATCAACCTCACCTTGAATATTCCCAGGGATGGGGCATCCACCACATCTCTGGCAACATGCTCCAGTGCCTCCCCACCCTCAATGTAAAAGACTTTTCCTTATATATAATCTAAATCTACCCTTTTTGAGCTTGAAACCATCTCCTCTTCTCATATCACCAAGACCCTGCTAAAGAGTCAGTCCTCTTCTTTCCTGTAGATACTGAAAGGCCATTCTCAGGTCTCCCCAGAGTCTTCTCTTCTCCAGGCTGAATAGCCCCAGCTCTCTCAGCCTGTCCTCATAGGAAAGGTATTCCATCTCTTGGATCATTTTTGTGGCCCTCCTCTGGATGTGCTCCAACAGGTCAATGTCTCTCCTGTTCTGAGGACTCCACATCTGAATGCAGTACTCCTGGTGAGGTCTCACCAGCACAGAATAGAGGGGCAGGATCATTTCCTTCACCCTTGATAATTCCTTGACTGAGTTAGTTTTGATGCAGCCCAGGATAGGGTTGGCTTTCTGGGCTGTGAGGGCACATGGCTCGCTCACATCCAGCTTCCCATCTACCTGAATCCCCAGGTCCTTTGTGGCACGGCTGTGCTCAATCTTTTCCAGCTTGTATTGGTAATGGGGATTGCATTGACCCAGGTGCAAGACCTTGCACTTGGATTTATTGAACTTCACATGGTTCACTTGGGCCCACTGCTTACGCCTGTCTAGGTCCCTCTGGATGGCATCCGACATGTTGACAACACCCCACAGCTTGGTGTCATCACCAAATTTGATGGTAATGCCTTCAAGTGATGCAGTACATAGTTTAGGAAAAAGTAACAGGAGATTGTACAGGTAGTGTAACCAGGAGGGATTGTAACCATGGATTAGATACAGACTATACCATCTTTTCAAATTTTGCAGGTAAAATTCAGTTTATTTTTCCTGCAGGTGAAATTGAAAACTTTATTAAATTTGAAGTTATTAAAACTTCATCGTGGAAAAACCTTTAGAATTTTCCTAAATAATATGCCATATTACCTCTGCTTATAAAACAAAATAGAACAGAAAAGCTAAAAACTAAGGACACTTTTTTGTATATATTTTTAAATCAATATCAGTAACCAACTCACCTTTCCTTAGTCTTATTTTCTACTTCACTTTCACCTCTGAAATAAAAGCAAACTTTAACTTCTCCTAGGGAATGAAAGATCTGTTTCACTCAATTCATGTCACTCACGTGTGCCTAAGCTAAAATCCTAAAATTGCAGAGCACATTTCTGAGCGCAAGGAGATGGGTTGCACAACCTCAGGGCTCACTTTATGTGGCCAGAGTCCAGTGGGATGTAAAAGTGCAATTTTCATAAATAAATAAACAACTTCTCTTTAGACTTCTGCTTGTTCTTATAGCTGTACACCAACTAAGCACTGAACAGAGCAGGAATGGCCTAGGCACCCAGAACTGTTGAGAAAGTCTCATGATGTTGGAAAATCTTAAGCGAACTGGAAAATTTTGGACAAAAATATGTCTCAGAAAGTCAAATCTGAAATGAATGCAAAGATCTGGGAAGAGAAAGCCTCTGACATCAACAGCTGTTCTTTGTTCTTGTTGAAGTATGAGGAAAGTATGTTTATGGATAGATGTAATTAATGTACAACTCCAGCTGTTTAAAAGGGAACATGGAGTTACCTTGCATATCTTTAACAAGTCATTTCTTGTGAAACAGCTGAACCTGGATGCCCTCATCCGCAGGAGAGCCAGTGGTAAGTATACTCAGAGCTAGCCAAACAAATGTGAGCTAAGGTCACCTTAGCTCTCAATGGGAGCTTCTGTCCTGGCATTTAGTTCCACTTATTAAACCCATTTCTGTTTCAGACCTTTCTTAGTTTTAGATTCTTCTCCTCATCTCCTGATATCCTGTGGTCAGGGTGGGGACAGGAATAGCTTCAGTGAGTGAAATGCCATTTAACCACAGCCTTCTTTATCCTATTTGTCCAAATTTAGTAACACCCATTCTATTGCAGTCTCAATGTTAACATTTAATTCGTGACCCTTACTCACTTTATTAGTGTACGATCAACAGCTTTGGTTTCCAGTCTGCTCTAGCTGTATAAGGTTTTCTCATGACATACTGCATTTATAGTATTAGGGTCTTTGCTAAGACTAAGGAAATCAAAGATAGATTTTCAATGAGAGAAGCAGAAACCTCATTTGATAACATGCATATAAATTCAGAGCAAGCTGGAGATGAGATTGTGATCAAGACAGCTGAAAAACGTCATTCTTCTAGATGAAGAAAAAATTTTTGTGAGATCTTGTGATGATGACAAAAATATCACATGAGAACTCAAAAAGACGGGAAAAAAAAAAAGACTGTTGAGGTTTTGAGAACAGAGTTGTGACTGTTGAATCAACTGTGCCATTTGGAGGGCTTATGGAATCCTTAATTTGAGGTAAAAATTGTAACAGAGAGCCAAAAGAAATAACAAGATTGCAGAAAAGATTCTAACTTCAATTTGGGAAAGGCAATTAGAGCATAAGTGGTGAACATCACTTGCTGATTGAAAGCTCTGAAGGAAAGCAGATCCCGTTCAGTGGATTGAATTATTCAAAGGAGCAAGTTGAAGAAAACTGAAACCTCAAAAAAGAACAGGCAAGCTGCAAACAAATGTTTGAAGCAAGGAGCGTGAGGGACTACACAGCAAATGGAAGGAAATAATCCAAACTGATATTTAACAAAATAATTTTACAAAAGCCTGCAGAAAAGACAAAATATACCAAAGATGTTCTAAAATATGTTACTTCTACACAAGCAAGGATAACTTGTTTTGAGAAGGATTCAAGATATAAACTGAGCAGTTTTTCACCAATAACACTGCCAGATCCCTTGTAGGTTTTAGTTTGATGTTATTGCACAGATCAGTCTGATAACTGATTTACACTATTGAGGGTGAAGGCAGAACAACTCCCATCAGTGTTCAGCACAGACAGGGGATGGCTCATAAAGAGGTGGTGTGCAGGCTGGAGAGGTAGGGTCAGGCTGCCCAGGCTCTTCCCTGCAAGAACAGTATTACCTCAAAAACTGCTTCTTTGCTTTTAGTAAAATCTCGACTTCTTAGATTAAGAAATCTCACTTTGGATAGAAGGATTGATGCTTACACATAAGTCTCTCCTGGCCATGTCCTCTGTTCTCCTTGGGTTTCTCTTGAAAGGTTGTTCTGTTTCTTTCTTAGGCCTATCGAACTCTTCATAGTCTTGGCAAATGCTGCAGCATAGCAAAAGCCACAGCCTCTGTATCCATCTATGCCCTGGGTTGTTCCTGAAGGAAGGGATAAGGAAAGGGCCCAGGGGTGAGAACCGTATGAAGACAGTCTCCTTTTTAGATCATAAACATACCTCTGACAATCAAACCAAAATGAACACCACTTGCCATGGTGTAAAAGCTGAGCTAAAACAAAACTTTTTAAAATAGAAGTTTGGATTTACTTTAGGAGAAGCACCTGTAGTCTATAATACAATATCACTGGAAGAGTAAATATCAGGACAGTGGGGGAAGGGGAAAAGGAAAAGGAAAAGGAAAAGGAAAAGGAAAAGGAAAAGGAAAAGGAAAAGGAAAAGGAAAAGGAAAAGGAAAAGGAAAAGGAAAAGAAGAAGAAAAAGAAGAAGAAAAAGAAGAAGAGAAAGAGAAAGAGAAAGAGAAAGAGAAAGAGAAAGAGAAAGAGAAAGAAAAAGAAAAAGAAAAAGAAAAAGAAAAAGAAAAAGAAAAAGAAAAAGAAAAAGAAAAAAAAAGAAAAAGAAAAAGAAAAAGAAAAAGAAAAAGAAAAAAAAAGAAAAAGAAAAAGAAAAAGAAAAAGAAAAAGAAAAAGAAAAAGAAAAAGAAAAAGAAAAAGAAAAAGAAGAAGAAAAAGAAGGAGATTAAAATGCAGAAATTGCAAAAGAAAAAGCAAAACTCAAAATATCCAACGTGTAGACAGATGTCATAAAGAAAACAATGCAAGCTAAATTGCACTGAATAATGCTGTTAGGAAGAGGCAGCTTAAAAAGACTAAAATACTCAGAAAGAATCAAAACAGCAGTCTAAAATTATAACAACATAACCTTCAAATCCACAATTCAATACTTACATCAATTCATTTGTATATACTGAAGAAAAAAAAAAACAACCTATGTATTCATCCTAGATTATTCCTCCATTTATCTGTAAACAGCATTATTAGAGAACATAGCTACCAGGAACACGATCTCATATTTAAAATCCTTCTTTGTGAGACACAGTTGCAGTAATAATAGGTCATAGATCACAGTTGGCAGGACTGTTCTGCAAAATTACTTTATTTCAACTCAGAGGATGTGTTCATTTTATTGCTGCTTAAAAGAGAAAAAGAAAGGGAGAAGAAAAAGAAAAAAAATGTAGCAAGAGAGAGAAAGTGATAAAGAGAAAAGAAAGAAGAAATTCAGAAAGAGAAGGAATGTAGGAAGGGAGGGAAGGAGGGAGGCAGAAAGAGAAGGAAGGCGGGAAGGCAGGAAGGCAGGCAGGAAGGCAGGAAGGCAGGAAGGCAGGAAGGCAGGAAGGCAGGAAGGCAGGAAGGAAGGAAGGAAGGAAGGAAGGAAGGAAGGAAGGAAGGAAGGAAGGAAAAATACTGAAAAGGTTGAAAAGGTGCTTGAAATAGATGAAGAATTAAATCTAGAACTTTATTTGATGCTGTTTGATTTCAGAGCAGTAGCCTCTGAACAGGACTATCATCTGCAAAATACACTTCAGCCCATACTGGCAGATTAGTTCAGTAATGCTAAATGCTGGGGCTTTTATATGAAAAAATGAAGAAAAAATCCACTGTGATAGTGGATAATGTTAATTTAATGGGGCAAGAGGACCTCAGACTAGTGCATTACAGCAGAGGACAGTAGTCTCTGGTGGAGTAGCCTCCCTCCCATGAGGTGATCGTTAATGGAAGACAGACCTACAGCTTTTGTAACAAAAGGAAGAAAGAGAAAAAAAAAATGAAGCATGAACCATTGACATCAAAACCAGAATTAAAAAAAAAAAAAAAAGAACAGGCTGAGCAAAACAGGGCTAAAACTCATGAGATGTTCATGTTCCCACTGGATAGATCAATAGGTTCCTCTCAACAAGTTTAGTTCAAGCTGGGCCTTGGCTTTCCTGACTCCATCCCTACACAGCCATTTCCTTATACTCTTTCCACAGTACCTGCCTCTGTTCCTACTGCTTGTGCATTTTCTTCTTGCTCTTTAGTTTAACCAGCAGGTCCCAGTTCAGCTATGCTGGTCCTCTTACCTCCGTTTCCTGACTTGCTACACCTGGGGATAAAGAGCTCTTGCACTCTGATGAAAGCCTACTTAACCACAGATCTGAATCTTCATTGCCTTTGCAGTTTATTTCCACCTATGATAAAATGGGTGTAACATACTCTGTTGATAATTACTTACAGTGCCCTTTGAAAGGGTGTAAGAGATGAGTGTAAATGATTGCCAGTAAAGGGTGTGGTGAGAGATGCATTGACCAGGTTCCAGCACTAGAAATAGCTCTTTCTTCTTTGTAGGTAATAACTTCCCAGAGGAGCATGCCACTCTCATTACTAGTCCTGTGAAAACACATTTTAAAATTATGATATTATTATGTATCACAAAGCTATTTTGCATCATTTATTATTTATTCACTGAGGCCTTGAGAGCACTTGAGTTTCATCCATGCATGCAGAAAAGTCCCAGTCCCAGTCCCAAGAAATGTATTAGCTAAGACATTTGCTGTAACTAAACTTGCATCAGATTTACTTAACAGATTTCTAAATTGATTTCAATAGTGCAAACCGTGCTGCAGACTATATAAACTTAGTATTTTGAGAAATTTAGTATTCATGTGTAAAATTGAGTAAGCTGAACTGAGACTCTTAAATATAAGGGTTTTATTATTGTTATAGTGGAGAACTATCTAACGTTTGCAAATGAATTGCATACAAAAACTTGCAAAGGCAATATTTATCTAAAAAAATAATTTTTGAAAGAAGTGATCTTTTTTTTTTTTTGGTCTCTAGAAAATCTTCTGTAAAACATTAACCAGATTTTATCTCATCATTTTATTGTTGGACTTCATTCTTAGCTACAGCTGCCCGGGTTTTTATAACCTGCTAGTAAATCTAACCATATTATTTTTAAATCACTTGTCAGTTTTCTCATTCAGGCTGTATAGACAAAATCTGTCTGGGAAGTTCTTGGCTGCCATACAGATAGGTATGGAAGAAAACCCCTTGATAAAGATATCTAATTATGCTGTAACCAAAAATAGCTTCTGCCTATATTAAGGGCACACACTGAATGGAAAATCTGAAAGCAAAAAGGTGCTCTGCACCTGTGCTTCGTGCTAATCGGAGCCAAGCCAGAAGTGGTTTGTAGCTATGCAGCCTCTCTGCTCCTCTCTGCTCTTCTTCATACACAAATTTTGGTAGAAGTGGAATGGACTAAAATCCCCATGAAAATTCCTCAGGCCCAGTTTCTATTGCGCTACACTGAAAAATTGATCTTTCTTAAGAGATAAAATAAAGCAGAGAGAGGAAAAGAAAGATTAACCTGATTAGCTTAACCTGCATGGCTTCACCAAGCGAAGGTCCTGCCTAATCAATTTTGCTGCTTTTTATGACATTATAATTGCTTCAGTGGATGGGGAAGAGCCACTGATGTCATCTATCTGTATTCCTTGACACAGTCTCTACAACATCCTTCCCCCCAGATTGTAAAAATATGGATTTGATGGGTAGACTGATCAGTGGGAGAGAAAATTGTTGCAAAATTGCAAACTTCATTGGGCTGTGTTGTTCCTGTTTGTTACAGGGGAGTTGGACTAGATGACTTTTAATTGTCCCTTCCAAATTAAAAGATTCTGTGACACTATGATTCTATGGGGGAGTAGTCAAACAAGGATAGGTACCTAGGGTAGGTGATGGCAGGAGAAAGGCAGGATATAAATTTAGTACAACAGCCTCTGTCTTAATAGGGACACGCTTTGGACAAGGTGTATAGAAATGCTACTTCTCTACGTGAAAAACATGAATGAGGTCTATGGACATTCCCCAGAATTTACTGGTGCTCACTACAATGTCCCAGAGAATCCCATGTATGGGTAGCCGAGCTTTGTCTTGCAACCTTAGTCTTAGTCCTCTGCACACATCATTAAAGGAATCAAAGGCCTTTCCACAAGCCAGGTTCGTAGCTGCAAACTGTGACAGTGAGTAATACCTTCTCCTGTTTGTACACAGGCATGGGGAGAGGTACATTTGTGTTAGTCTATGTTAGTCTACTGGTGGTCTACTTCTTGATAATGAGATGTGTGGATTTAATAGCAGTTTAATAAACTCCTTTTTATATTACCAAGTACTTCAGTGAAAACTATAACATTAGAAAATGACTGTATCAAATGGAATTTAAGCACCAACAAGGGACAAAAAGTGTACAAAGAGTGCTCAAAAAATACTGCTTTCTCCTTTATTATGTTTGCCCGCAGCATCAGAAGTGTTTGTTGGTAGTAAGGGATAAGAGGTTGAACCTTACCACTAAAGTTCCATTACATTTTGTTGCTGTATAACAGATGGCAAAATAGCTTCTGACATGGAAGTGAGTATGAAGAAAAGGTGTGTCTCTGAATTTCTCTGCGCAGAAAAATGGCGCCCACTGACATTCCTGGACATTTCCTGAATGTCTATGGAAACCAAACAGTGGATGTCAACAGTGAGGCAGTGGATGGTGCAGCCTAGTAGTGGCAACAGCGACAGTAGGTCACCTCCACTAGTACAGATTTTTACACACACAGTATGTAGGTTCTTGTTCATTGCTGGCAAAGTTCATAGATAATTGTGGTGATTATACTGAAAATGTTATTGAAAATAGTGCTTTGCATCTGCAAATTTACTCTATCAAATAGTGTTATTCTGCTATTTGAATCTACTGCAATTTCTATGGAAATAAATAGAGGCATTACTTTTAGAGTGGCTCACATGCAATTTGGAGAGGCAGGGTTCAGAATGTACTTACAGAGATATCCTGGCCTGATTTTTCTCAGTGCCTTTGTTTCACACTCCAGACAGCTTCTGTATTAATCCTTGTGCTTCTGATGGAGCCGAGACTCCCACCACCCAGTTCCAGTCTCCCTGCCCAGAGCCACGGCCAGCAGGTTGCATGGTCTGCTCATATTCCTTCTCTTCTGGAGGACATGTGACTCTTGCACTCACTGAGTGCAAAAATCAAACTGCAAAATGCACCCTGTGCCCCATCTTGTTGCAAATGCCCTGGATGCCTGCTGGATAAAAGTTTGCCTGAGGCATGAGAAGAATAGATCCCAGTACCCCAGGGTGAATGTGTGGGAGTGACTGGCTGTCAGTTTGGTCTCATGTGTCAAACAAAGACACTGGCTGATGAAATAGCTCAATAAACAGCCACAGTCAGAGCTGTGCAAACTGTGAAATGGCACAATTCTGCACGTGTTTGTAGCATGTTTTATCTGCTCATCACGTAAACCTTTCTACGTTCTGTTTACAGCAATGGAAATGGCTCCAACTCTCACTCCCAGGTTTATGGCAGGGGGGAGGAGGGTGGAGTTGGGGAGGAGGGCAGCATATTCATGGCATGAACATCAGCTGTAAGAAACGACACCCTGGGTATTTAAGGTTTCCTACTGAACAAGGAATATTGAAGATAAAGTAAGTATTCAACAAATGTACAGCAATGGCCATACAAATGAGCAGCTCCCTTGGGCTCATGCTATCTGCCCCTTTGCATTTCCATAGTAGGGGATTGATGTTGCTTCCATTAAGAAAGATGGAAAATCTCCAAGTGCTTTTGGTGGGAGCAAATGCCTGCCTCTATACACTCCAGCCTCCTGGGGTGTATATATTGTACTCTGTATTCAAGCTACGTGCCTGCGTATATTTCCTATGCAATTTCAGCTTTTATAAACCACTGGAGTTTGCAGTTTTGTCAGCAATGACAATGATGAGTTTTGTTCCAACTGGTGTGTTCCCAGGGAAAGTTTTTGTTTTAAAGAAATGTCACTTCCCAATTGAAAAAAAAAAAAAAAAAAAGAAAAGAAAAAAATCAACTGAAAAATTCTTCATTGGTTCTGTATTTTGAGTTAATTCTCAGGTTTCTCTTGCCTTCAAGTGCTTTGCATACTCAGGAAATATTGAATCTGTAGTGACCATACTGTATGGTCCATCTTAGGACAGAGCTGAAAACTCCAATGTGGGTCCCATTCCAGTTGGAGAGGGACAAGAAACGGTCCCTGCTCATTTGCTCTTGCTCATCCTGTACATGGAGTTTATCACAGGCTTCCAGTTCTTCTGGCTACTTTTTGAGGCAGAAGTTAGCAACCTTCAGAAAGTCCTCTACAGACGCTGCTGGTTCAGCTCTGGCTGTTTCTGGACTCTGAAGTTCAAAGTGTAATTCAAATGGCTTTCTCTAGATTTGCATTCTTGTATTCCTCTTCATTTGCATTTGTATTCTTGACTTCGTCTTCTTCTACTTATACTGTTCAATCCTCCATGTATTTCTCAGTCTCTGGATGCTAATATATAGCATATGTTCCCCATTTAACTCTTCCTTAATTCTTATTGGCATCGTTTTTGTAACAAAGGAGAAACAAAACAGTTGCTTTGAGAGAAAATATTTACTTGAAAAACAAACTTTTCTTTGTATTTACATGTGAAAACACGCAAAGCCTTTGTGCTCTGTTTTATGAGTGTTACCAGGAAGAGTATCTTTCAAGATTATACCACTCAAGATAAAGCAAAGTTCATTTTTTAGTGCATCTTATCTAATGAAAATTAAAAAGCACATGTGCAAAGGTATGTTTGCAGTCTTGTATGTTTTGTGTGAATAGAATCAATATCTGTAATGATAATCTGGAATTACAAAGATGGAAAAAAAAGTTATAAGATAAAAATAATTGTTCTGCCCACAATTGAATTTTTGTGTGTGTGTTTTTTGAAAATGTTTTTAGCTATGGTTTCAATTTCCATTACTGATTTGCAAAATACAAGTTTACATCTCTAAGTCCCATGACAATTAATCCTGCGTGGGCGGCTTCAGAGAGGATCAAGAGCTAAGGAGAAACTGTCCATGCTAAGTAAGCATTTGTAAATCTCAACCAGTAGAAGGGGAATGCATGTATTCAAGAAAAGAGAAAAGGAAAGGGAAAGGGAAAGGGAAAGGGAAAGGGAAAGGGAAAGGGAAAGGGAAAGGGAAAGGGAAAAGGGAAAGGGAAAAGGGAAAGGGAAAAGGGAAAGAGAAATGGAAAGAAAAAGAAGAAAAAGAAAAAGAAAAAGAAAAAGAAAAAGAAAAAGAAAAAGAAAAAGAAAAAGAAAAAGAAAAAGAAAAAGAAAAAGAAAAAGAAAA